TTTGTCTCCAATACTTGGGCACTGAGGTGAAGAAAGTAATTTGAATTCAACCCGTGACATTTTATCTCCAGGCCTATTGTCTGGAATTACGTTGTTTTTGTATTTTAAGCCACTTTCAGTGAGAAGCCAAAAGGAATTAGAAGTTCTGTTAAAATAATTGTTTTAAATCCAGAGATCTTTTATTCTTATAGAATGTAAAAGAAAGAGCATTAGGGAAAGCAACTTTGGAGATGGAAAGGTAAAAATGAAGTAGGAGGAAAAGCAGGCAGGCAGGCAGGCAAAAGAAGAGACAAATACACAAAGCATACAGAAAGTCAAATAACGCAAACAAGCCAGACAAGCCTCGGAGAGACGAGTTTATTAAAATTCACTTTATATGGATGTAGAAGGGGCCCCACAACTTTGTGTGAACAAGAAGGACATTCTGCAATTATTTCATTAGTTGGAAAAAAACAAAAGATACTGAAAATAAAAACAAAAGGTACACAAGCCTTCCTGGTGCTATATAAATAATAGAGTTAATTTATGATCATTACATCTCACCCATAGGGGACATTAACAAGTTTAGTCTTCAAATTTCAAAGTATTTAAACCTTAAAAAACTGCAACAGTTTTATTTATTTATTTATTTATTTTTATTTTATGGTTGCCATAAGAGAGAAAATCTTAGGACTATTTAATCAAGTAATATATTATTATAATGACCGATTTTTCAGAAAAAAATTAGAAACATATTCTATAATCAGTTTAAATGCATTGTTTGGAATTATGGAGTATCAGCTTTAAAGCTGACACTACCTTGCTATCATAGAGACAGAGATACTAAGGCATTAAACCATGTAGTTTGACAAACAAAATGAATGTAGAATGTGACCATGTTCCGAAGGGACCCTACTCATAATGTATTTGAGAAAATTTCGTAAGGAAAATAAAATTCATGTTGCAGTCTTTATAGTTTCTTTCTTTTTTTATTTAACAAAGATTTATTGAGTCTTTTAATATAATGGACAAGGCAAGAGACTGTCACCTATTGCAAACAATTTGTGTTAGCTGAAAAAGCATTTTATCTGGTCTGATTTGTTTTCATTTCATAATTGGCTAGCATTTTGTGTAAGCATAGATTTTTATGATGATTTTTTTACAGTGGTCAATTTTTATTAATTCAAACAATATTTCTTCTCGGTACTAAAACAATGTGACTGTATAGTCTTTTTCCTCGGCTTTATTAAAATATCCTTCATTGTTCTGGGAGGAAATTATCAGCTTAAAGGATGATATATCTTTTAGAAACTTCAATATTAACTACTAAATCATGATAGTTTACTATTCTCCATGTAGGTGGAGACTGGGAAAGAAGAGTAATCTAATGTCTTTATCTCCATGCTGAACAGAGGAGAGCAGAAAGCCATGGATAATGCATGTCCCTATGCTCCCTGTTTGGTCCACGGATTTTCAAAAACTGGTCTAAATCTAATTCCCAGTTGCAGCCAAAAAATATATTTTAGCAATGATATGTAATGTGTCTCAACAAACTAAGACTGGTGTGGGACTTTGTGAAGGCACATTCTGTTCATAATCTGAAAGATCAAAGCACTCATTTTGACACTGACATGGGCCACAATTCATACAGATGGCTCTTTCTTTTTAAGTACCATATCCACACACAAAAATAATCTTCTTCTATCTAGATGAAAAGAGGCCCTTTCTTTTTCAGTTAAAAATTCTTGACAGCCTTTCCGCTAAGGGCAAAATGGTAGAAAGAGGTGATCTCAGAGAGAGAGAGAACTCACTGAATTTAAATCTCCCCTTTTTTAGAAAACTCCTAACGGCTATCCTCTGGACGGTCCACAGTGGGTCCATTCACGGCCTTTGAACCACTAGCTCAGGAGCGGCTGGGAACAACCTACAGTCCGCATCCACTCTTCAATATGAAAGACTGAAAATGTGATGCCATCTGTATTTTCTTTCCCCACACCAAGTACATACGTGGTAAACTTAGTGGAGGGAGAGTGGGCAAGGAGATGGTGACTACAGAAATCTGCAGAGCAATTCTCAGTGAACGCAGGGAAATGCAAGCTTTCCTTCAAAAAGTAATTTAGAGTTTAATACTAATTTTCAGTGTAAGATAATTATGTTAGGGCTTGCATATTTCCCTTGACACTTTCCTTAAAAAGTATCAGTGTAGGTATTTCATATTAATCTCACAAAATATAGTTGATCTCATATCTATGGTACAATTTTGAGACAGTAGAGTTTCATGGCTATGAGTTAATAAAAGCACATTAATCTCATTTCAGACAAATCTATGAGTCTGAACACATATAAAATGCCAACCTTTCATAAATTATGAATCAGTCTGAGATACAGACATTTTTAATTTTACTGAGCAGCAACTGAACTCTACGTGGGACTCTCTTTTCATTAAATCACTGTTGAGGAGGGGCTCTGTTATTTGATGTGCCAATTCCTACCTTTTCTCAAAGTTAAGTCTTTTTAAAAATAAAACTTGAGTTTCCAACTACATCTTGCCCCTGGCTCCCCAAATGAAACCTATCCAAAAGGAAAGGGAAGCACTGCCTCCTTATGACTGCCCTTCCCAGTGGCTGCTGTCAAGTTAAGGCATTTGCAGCTTTTCTGAGAGAGAAACTGAAAGCTTACAATCATTCATTTAATTCAAACATACAAATAACTCCTTAAAAAGGAAAAAAAAATCACTAACCAAGGAAAAGCTTTGCCTTCAAAGTTATTTTTCTGGGAAATATCCAGAAGAGGAAAAAAAAAAGGCTAACCTTAATACCAGGATCTCATGATTTTAGATAAATGAGGGCATACGCCTAGGAAGAGTAATTTTGCTAGAAACACATATTTTAAAAATTCATTGATGTAGTTGAACATATTTGTATTTGATTTGGTTAATTCTACTCATTGTTAGAATTTATGTGGATACCTTTACAGTTTTAAAGCTCTATGATTTATTGTTTGTTTAACATAAAATAAAAGGACACATAAGATGGACTTACAGAAAAAGATGTTTTCCTCATACAGACTTTCTAAGATTCAGGAGACTGCAGGAAAAGGTACCAAGCACAAGTCTGGCTTTGGGAGACACGATACTGTGAGTTACCGCTTTGCCAGTGTCACAGCCCCAGAGCTGGATAATTGATTATTCTCATAAAATGTGAGCTTCTCTTCAAAAGGGATAAGAAAACAGAGGACTGAAGAACAAAAGCTTGGTAGGACTTCAAAACAAGATGGTATTCAATCAGCACTAGCTATTATAATGTCTTGTTTTCTTCAAAATAGCTGTTCACACCATCACAGACAATAAAATCAAACAACCCAGAATAAAACCATTCCAACTAATGAATGAAAACTTTATAAGGCTTTATCATGTTGTATCTTATTGGATTTCATTATATGTGAACATATAAACAAAATTTTGTATGGACAAGGAGATAATATAGTAACCATTGTTCGTTTTCTGTTAGTTGGTTTTGAATACCCTGTAATACTTTCATTCTCTTGAATGGTTTATACTATCTTGTTATGTTTGATACTTTAGTGTATGAAGGTATACTCAAATATTTCAAGGAAAGACACTATAGTACCTACTGTTATGTCAGGTTGTCTTGTGGTGAAACACTATGCTGCTTAAATTCTTTTGTTCTGATCTGTTTTGTTATGTCCTCTTTTATCTTAATGTTTTTAAAATTAAAAAAAAGTAATTTTCTTCTTGAAAAGAAAAAACAAACAAACAAAAACCCAGAGGATTGAAGAGGAGATGATAAATACTTGGTAAATTCCATTTTTAGGAGCTTTATATTTTTACTTGGGAAATTACTATTTGAGAATTTGAGGTTTTTTTAAAAATTCTGCCATGTTGCAGTATATAATTAAATTTTTAATGTGGTTCAGTTATCTTTTCACAGCTGTGATAGACTTTTATGCTACTTTTAAAACATCAAAATATATGAGTACAAATATGAACTATACAATTAGGAATAAGGTAATGCGTACTTATCAGGGAAAAAAAGGTCTTTCTGTCATAATTTTTGGACCATCATTTTGTTCTTCAAAGAAGGAACTATTGCCATTTGGGAGCACAGACCAATGCAAAGGAAATAAGCTCCATCCACGTACACTGTGCATTCTTCCAAGTATACAGAAAAGTATTTTACTAGTATCGTACATTTAGAAGTTTGTTACAATTATTTTATTAAATAGCTAATGACTTTGTGATCCCTGGAGGAGAATCCTTTATGTGGCCAGCAAAACCTGGAAAAGAAAAATCTAAATATTGATGTAAAAACACAAAATGAATTCGCCTTGCAGATAATACAAAAACTCAAAATAAAACCACAGTCCTCGTATCCTTTCACTCTCTGTCCAAATTCCAACAGAACGCAGTCCATGCATCTTTCCGGACTCAGCAATTGCATGCATATCACAGATTTGAAGGGTTTTGGTAAGTTTTTCAAATATATGATTAGGATGTAAAAATTCATTATGTAAATAGTCTTAATTATCAAGGATATATTTTTCAGAATGATAATTATCTAGGAACCTACAATATAGAAAAACATAATTTGCTATGTAAAACTTTGAGTTTAGAAGAATTTTATAGCAATTCTTAACATGAGAAAAGTTAAACATTTGTTTTCTAAATTTGATTTCTCTTAGTATTTCTGTTATTTGGTTTTGATGCAAACCATGAGAGGCCAAGACCTGGAAAAATACAAACGCCATCTGAAGGTCTATGTAGGTGTTTGCACCTTCTCTTATGAGCCTCTCTTTCCCTGTAGAAATAGGAAAGCCAGTAAGAAAGTCTTCAGTTTTATAGATTTCAAAATGAATTTTTACAACCCAGATGATGGACTGGTATACTTCAAAAATGAGGTCATGACTTTTCTAAACACATTACTCTGTTCTTTTTCTTTTTCTTGACTAGTTTACATCATAATGGAGGAATAACATTTTAAAAATTTTGAATAGGCACTTACTGGAATTACAGTTAATCCTGATACAATCTAGATGGGGAAGAATAGATGAAAAATGAAAATTTATCCTTCAAGGTAATAGCTGCAGACATCCAATAAAATCACAGTCCACCCTTCCGGGGACAGACACATGCAAATATGGCCACTCCATATCATTATTCTTTACATACTTCTAGAACCCAGATTTTTTTTTTTTTTTGTCATAAAACTGCACCTTTGGAAACAATAATAGAATGTTTCAAAAAAATGGCCACTTCAAACAAAGCTACATGGTGACAAATCTAAGTGAATAAAGAGTAGTTAACTGTCAAAGATGCTTGGCTTAGACTGGCTGCAACTGTCTCCCCATCTGTGAAAGAACATATCATCATTTTTAGTAAAATTAAAAAGTGCTCCGTCACAATGGGGTGCAGTGCAAGCTCAGCTAGGCTCAGACATCTTGGACCTCTAAAATCTAAGATCCCACAAAGGCCAGCAGAATCTTTCAGAATTTGCAGTGGTCAAATGGAGAGCACGTTAAAAATATTCTCATCTCACTGTAATGTTTTCTTTGTTTTTTTGTCTGGTTGTTTTTGAGTTTCATTTTCCTGGGCACAATGCAGTAACAGCCAAATGTTGGCTGGGTTCCACATGTTGTATTAATTGCAGGAGAAAAGAAACAACTATATGTATCCTACAGAGTCATTCTCTGGATACACAAGCCTACTCTTCTCTCGGTAGCTATCAGTATTACCTCTAGGCAGCAAGTGTTGTGAACACCACTATTGATTTTTCCTGTCTTATATTTGCTTCACACAGAGCAGATAATGTAAGAACAGAATGTCTGATGTGGATAACATAGACTGTGATTATAGGGGTGATTTTTAAGGAACTACATGGAGCGTGGTGTGTGTGTGTGTGTGTGTGTGTGTGTGTGTGTTTATATATACATATACATATAGACATACACTTTTTGGCTTTGGTTTTAATGCCTTTGGGGAACATGAAAAATATAAACCTAGATTCTGTTTCCATATAGCTGAGTTTGTCATGTGTCGTCAACCGCATCAGAAAAGTGGTCGCAAATAGCCAAGGACCAGCAGCTACACAACTCTTTCTACAGAATGCTTTGCTGATGAAAAATTCCCAATGGTATTTTCCACTTTGACCAGCAGCTTTTTTACTAAGATGAGGCAATGTATTTTGATTGGCTTGTAGTAACCTATCATCGTCACTAGAGGGAAGTCTAACAGAACAGTAAATGAGAGCCCTGTGTTTATAGTGTTTAAAAACAATTATTTAATATTGCTAGTGTTTAATTGAATGTAAGTACATGTAATAATCTACCAATGGGTTAACTTTTATTTTATGAGTTATCATTCTGCCCAGCACAATTTGAAAATCCAGGTAGGATTGCCACATCCTCTTAGCCTCTTCTAAATCTGTATCGATTCAAATATAGATCTAATGCTATGCAGATTACACCTTCTGTTTCCTCATTTGTATGTGTGTTTAACACACTTGCAAAATACAGTAAAACCTCATTCATTATTATTCCTCTTATTTGGAGTGAATTGTTATATTGAAACTTATTGGGCAGAATATTAGATCTTCATTTATGAACAGAGATTTCCTTAGAAAAATTTCTTTCAAAAAAACAAGGTTTTGAAATGCCAGGTTCACAAAGAAAACTGATTTCAAATATTTAAGTTGAAAACACAAATTTGCATGAAACCTGTTAATAATTAAGGGTGGTCCTTATCCAGAATTAAAATCAACCTAGAGAGCCCTTTCCTGACAAGATTTCCCCAGCTATTAGTTTGTTTTTGAATCTAATCGAAAAAGAAAAGTGCTTAATTGCTAAGAATCTATCATTTAGATATTTTCTCTGCTCAGCCTGACTTTTCCCTAAAATTCATCCCGAATGTGAGGTTTTACTGTAGTGACTGCTTCCTAACGCTACCCGAACAGGAAAGCATTATCTTTCTGTAGAAGAGACAGTGTCCTCAGTGTTCTCATGGCTGTTTGCTGAGGGCCGCAGACTTTGGGCATTGAAGGGTTGTGGATTGTTGTTGATAGCAAAATATCACCACACAGTACTTCAAAACAGAAAGGATGGAGAACCACAAAGGCAGCTATCAAAAGAGAAGCCAAGAAAGAGGAAAACAACTGCTCATCTAGAGTGCATGCCTGAAATTGAAATTTTGTGCATATACCATCTAAGTAAAGTTAGGCAGATTTTTATGCACTGGCAAAGATATCACCTATAATGAATCAGAAAATGAGCACATACAACAGGGAACTCAGTTTGAGGCAAGTTTAATCCTCATTTATATTTTCAATTTAACTCACTAATAGTACTGGCTTCACTTTTAATAACCTTCAGTGGTTGAAATCACGAAACAGTAAATTATGTTAAACATAACAAAAAGATGCCCCTCCCCCCAAAAAAATCTAAATTAACTTAAAGGATGAAAAAGACGACCATTAAGTGTTTTAACTTTTCATGGCAAACAGGCTACTTGATCAATGTTTGCAAGCAAAACTTAACAGACAGTGCAAGGTGTTAGTTGAATGGCGGAAGGCAGGTGGTTACCTAGGTTGACCGTCAGTTTCACGCGGCCCGCGTCCAGCTCCAGCCGGAGGGTGTCCGCTGAGTCCCTGGATGTGGTGGCCATCAGAATGCCGTATGCACGCTGTGATCGGAACCTTAAGGACACGTCCTCAGCCTCTGTGTGCATCACCACCGGGAGCTGGATTTTCATAAACATGCTCCCGTCGTAGCTCAGAACCGTGGCCTCTGCAGACAGGAAATGAATTCCCTAAGTTCTTAGGCATTTTAGTGCGATGTTACTTGGAAAGGGGCAAGCTTTTACAGGCCATCTAGAACACCAAACAGTAAAATTAGCTCATCCGCTTAAAAATAAGATTCTTCACATGGAAAGAGAAGTCACGAGGTAAGTAAGTTCCTTTGTAAAGTGGGAAACAGAGGTAGCAGCACCCCTGTAGCATTAACCCTGTTGGGCTGTGTTTTGCATGACTGTTTCCATTCTCTGTAGCAGATATCATGTTTTTTCTCCTCCTCCACTGTTGCCCTCCCCTTCCTCCCTAATTCTTCTTTGGAAATTGAATATAGGGGCTTTGCCCTGAGCTTATTTTATTTTATTTTATTTTGTTTGTTTGTCTTGGAGCCAGTGACTCACTAAGTTGCTACATTACTCAAGTTGGGTTCAAACTTGTGACCCTCCCGCATCAGCTAGCCAAAAGGACTGCTAGGAATAAGTGATTCCAAGTGCAAACCTGCTTGGAAATGCTAGCCGCAATGTGACAGGTTTATGGACCAAGATCACTGATTAGCACTGTGATATTAGTCAGCCTTGCATTGGCTCTGATCCTATAGAATACCAGGACACTGTTAGAAGTTCTCGCCAGTAAAATCATGATGCAAAAAGAAAGTATTACAATTTTTCATAATCTCTACCATTAAAGGCAACAATGATAACAAAAGAAATACTGGTATGATTAAATACATAAGAATTAGATCAATGCTTCACCCAAGGTGATGTTTAGAAAGAAAAATTCTCTGCATATTACCAAACAAGAAAACATGGTTCCTCTGAGCCACTAGGTAATTTTTTAAAAGCACAAGCTATACCTTTATTTCATGCTTCATTTACAGATAAGGATAACTTAAATCATTATAAGCATAACCCTGATGTCCTAAAAATATCAAACTATCATGAAAATGTCAATTAATTGTGTAGCTTGGTTCTCTGGATAAATGTGGGTTAGGATTGAGGATGTGTGTGGGAGTCTTATTAAACTAAGGTAGACTGTGCTAGTAGGGAAGCTGCCTAATATTATATTAAATATGCACAGAAATGAATAGCAAAAACTGTATGACAGAGCACTCTAAGGAATATTCCCCTCAGAGTTAGCACCATACGGCACTGTCACCCTGCAAAACAAGTATGCATAAACAGTTCATAAAACTAACCATGCACTCCTCCTGATCCTTCTAACTCAGAGTGCCATTTAATATGAAAAAAAAATACCCTGAATTAAAATTAGGGAATGTTTACTTCTTGGCTATTTATATGGCACAGTATTAACTTTACTGATACAACCATCTTCATTATTAAAACCACACTGTATTTTAGAGTTGTGGTTTTGCCATTAGAACAAAATCTGTACTCTTTTTATCTGACCTGTGTGGCACCGAATATGGTCCTAGCCTTGTTCTTTCTCTCTAGTCTCAGTGTACAGCAACAGCCCCCTCACCTGGCAAGATCTGCCTGCACCACCCTGGCTCTCATGGAAGTGTCTGCCATCCTAGCTTGAAGAATCTCATCCTAAAGTTCTTCAGTTGGCTGGTTCTTTCTGCATTGAGGTCTCTGGTCGAATGCTATTCCAGAGAGGCCTGCTCTCCATTACAATCAGTCCAAAGACCAGCCTCCCAGAGGCTCCTCTTGGTGGGCAGCCAGGGCTCCAGTGTCCCAGGCAGGCCAAACTAAAAGAATTTACTGAATAAGCAATCATACATGATGCTGAAGTATATGAAAGAGTTTATGTGAAGTAAGATATAAAGCTTGCATAAATGCTAACCAAAGAAATTAACTTTATCTGCTGCAAAAGGAACCTAATTTCATTGATACATGTGACCAAAATTTACCTTAAAAGTCTACTTTCAAGCAGATAATTAGGCTGTACAGGAAACTGCAAAGGTATCTGACCAACCACTCAAAAAAATATATATATGGCCTTAAAATAGAGATATTATGTATCATGTCACTGATTTTTCCAATTAGATAAGAAGTTTCACTTAGGTGAGAAGTTTCTTCAGTTCAGCAATTTCAAATGGAAGGAGATCCATATGGGTGATCAAGCAAGTAGCTACTCAACAAATAATAAACATGATTGCAAAATTGTAGTAAATCTTGAAAAAAAATTGTAGAACATTAAATGAAATATGATCTTGGCTTTTTGTTTCCCTGTGCTTAATCTACAATGCAACAAACACCTCAACTTAAAAGTTAAAAAGCCGGGGCTGGGGATTTAGCTCAGTGGCATAAGTGCCTGCCTTGCAAGCAGGCAGTCGTGAGTTCAATCATCCCCGGTACCGATAAAAAGGAAAAAGACAAAAAAAAAAAAAAAAAAAAAAAGTTAAAAAACCATGATCAATCATTCAGTTACTTCGATGTCAAGAAACATAGTCAGTTTTCCCCTAGTTATTAATCTGTACAATTATTCTATTTTCAATAATCATATTTTCAAGCCCATCTCATACTCTTCTGTGACATGAAACTTACTTTGTAAACTAAGTAGGGGATATATTACTTTAAAAATAAAACTGTCTGACAATCATTCGTAAATATATTATGAAATACAATCCAGAGAAGGGACGCAATCAGGATTACTGGACGTGAACATTCTCCAAAATGCTGCACAAATGGAATAACATGGTAAAGTAATACAACTCAAGTGCCCCAAGTGCCATTTTAAACAAGCCTCAATATGAAAATAATTTGTTGATAAACAAGAACTGAAAGCCTAAATGATTCATTACAGTTATAGTTAATGTTTAATTAGATAAGAAATGGGAAATGCACAAAGTTGTAGTCATCAGCTGACAAACAGATATCAGATGCCACTCTGGAATCTGAAGCTTATGCTATGTGGCAGTGTGTTTTGGCGGTAGTAACATCATTTTACTGTTTAGAATATAAAGATTAATTCTAGTGCAATACTTCCTGGTGGAAGAGAACAGTTTCAACTTTGTCTTCTATGTCTCCTTCTCGCTTGTCATTACATTTGATAAATTTGCTTTTCTGCACTGTTCCTTGCTGTAGTCTAAAGTGTACACCTGTCCAGGTTTTGCCAAAAGGCAGTCACATATTGTGATCAACAATGAAAATCAGACAAGAAGCCAAATTATATTGCTCTGACATCTGTCTCTCCATCTGTTACAGTTTTCCAAACAAGTATGAAGTAGACCTCTGATTACACTAAAACTATTATTTTACATATTACTGAGAATAACTTCTTTGATGCAAGTTATTCTTTCCTATAAGGTCAATACACATCGGACAGAATACTATTTATTAGTTAAGAAATATTCTTTCTGAATTGTTTCTGCATTCTTTCTTACATACTTTTTGCTTCCTTAATGTGGGATGAAAATTTCCTGTAATTACACCCAACTTCTCTCAGGTGTAATGTTTGACACCAGCTATAGTTTTACTTTGAATAATTATCTTCCAAAAAAGCAATAAGAACCGTGGGAGCAATGAAACCCAAAATGTGTAATAGTCATTGTACAAAAGAGAGGAAAAGAAAGTGCTCTAAACTATATAACTGCATGTATATTTAAGTGTATAAGATAGAAAATGATATCACAGAGTTTTATTGGATCATTGAACAGAACTGTCTGCAGTATCATTGTTGGAATGTCCACTCTACAAGCTTTAATTTTGTGACTTGAACAATTATTTCTAAGATGGCAATATGTAATCCATTAACTAGTGATTTCCTACTGTTCATTTTTTTCTTCTGTAAATCTGTATAACTTGTTAAAAAATTATCTTCCTACATTATCAAATATTATTCAATAATTTTTTTGTAATTTTTGCATAAACTCTGTGAGTGTTGGCTTTTTTAATTTCAAGAGTTATCATTTGGTTCTGTGAGATCAACAGCTTTACGTGATGTCATTGCGTTTAGAGAGGAGGTGACGTGAAATCCTCTCTTTTAAATTGGGAACTCCGAGGTTTAAGCATGATCGTGTGAACTAGGGTATAGCTGGGAATGGGATAGAATCCAAACTCTGTGGTTAAGATCATGACAACCTTTCCACATTTCCCTTGCTCTCAGGCAGCACCACAATCTGAGGCAATTAATTCTAAAAAACAGACTACTACGCTTATGCAGTCTCAAGGAAGAGCTACACAAAACAACCGTTTTAACCTCATAAACGTCTCACCTGCAGACAAAGAAATCTTCAGAAACTTTTAGCTGACCACGTGATAAAAATGTTGTGACATATATATAGTGATGAAGTCTGCTATTCAATTCTCATTTGAAACTCTGCCTATGCGTGGCACATCTCCTTTTAATTATGGCATTATTAGTTATTGCAATATATTAAAAATATTCCTTTTCACTCATTCTGGTTCCCCAAACTACAACTTCTATTTTTATTTTGCCATATGTAGTAGCAGAATATTGCCACAGGGTGGTACACCATGCACATGGAACCCAGGGATTTTCATGGTAACACTTTTCCAGCTGTGCTAGGAGGGGACTTCAGAGCAGCAGTTTCTGAGTGATGAGAATTAAAACAAAGCTTTAAATCATGTAGATTCACAAATCTCCTATGATGCCTAAATGTATTGTAACTTGTTAGCTTCGTTATTTTTTCCTCTCTTTGGGCAAATTTCCAAAAGCAAAGTAGACAAACTAAAACTGGAAAAGAAGTGGGGAATAAGACACTTGTAAGGAATATAATCAAACTATGCAGAGAGAGCTAAATTCTGATGCCAACTCACAGGAGTTCCAATTAGGTACTATCATAAAGTGAATGAATGTATTTATGTGATAAAATACTTGTCCATCTATTGACCTACCTATTAGCGTTCATAAAATACTAAATAATGACAACATTGTGGTAGGAAATTTAATCTATTATTTATTAATTTATTAGCAGCAATTATGTATAGTTATTGCTTTCAGAAATATAATTGATAAGATGATGCACCTAATTTTTAAGAAAAAATTCAAAATCGCACTTCGATTTTGGGTTTTACAAAATGTCACTTTTTCTCTGGGAAGTTTTAGGTTAAATCAATGGAACTATTTCAAGAATGAAAGAAAGCAAATAACCAAATGAGTGGCTTAACAATAAGAAGCGAGGTATTTTAGATCAAATGTCTAATACAGCAATGCTATTTGTACCGTAAGAGGACAATGGAAGAACTCATCAATATTTCTTCATATTGATTTTCAGCTCCATTGTAGAAAATAAGTGACAATGGACAGTGACTAAAGCATTTATCTGAAAGGCTGGATCGATGGAAGGACATGCCTGGAACCATTTTTCCTGCTATTGCTTCTGTCAGGCTACTCTGCAGATCAGCCAGTGACAGCTGCCGCACCTCCGTCTTCCTTTATCCCTTACTCCTATCCTTTCAAGAAAAGAATGAAAAAATGCAGCTTTATCTCCTCCTAGAGAAGAAGGAAAACCTGCGCAGAGATGCAACAGATACAGCTGTGCCTTAAAATCGAATCGGTAGACAAGTCATCTGTGATTGGTCAGTCCCTAAGCAAAGGGAAATATCTTTTAAATTAAGATAAAATTATGGCATAACGTGCAATTATAATTTGGATGATTTGAAGTCGGTTTATTTTTCAATGAGAATGTTGTTTCGTGGGAAAGCTGGCGAAGTAAAGCTGGCTAGTTTGAGTCTTACCTTATAGTTTCAGGAAGTTGCAAGCTGCACCTCAGCTTGCCCTAAGTGCTATTTGTTTGTCACAGATATTAGCATTGGGGATTCCATGTATGGCTAGTTCACGACTTTTCTTACTGTCTTCCATCATGAAGTTCAAAACTGGGCAAAAGAGACAGCAGTTATTGCTGTACACATCTGGGGCTTATGACCTATGTGACTGAAGACACACATCTATTCCTATACTTCAAAGATCTGTGTCTCCACAGAAACAGGCCTTTTCAAAACCATTACAGGCTGATCAGTAATTTGTCTCCAGTATGGGATTCAACTTGCAGACTTCAGTAAACGTGTATTCAGTAAACATGTTTCTATCACTAGCGTGTTTGAGGTCAGCACTGAATAGACTCTTCATCTAAAAGGTTTGGCTGCTATGTTTTTGAAAACCTACCTCTCTCACAGGACCTGCCAAGGTAGCCTGTTCCAGAACAATCACAGACATATCTGTTCCACCCATCCCTGCACATGCCATTATTTTTGCAAGGATTGCTAAGGCACGGTTTTGCTGTTTCCCTGGAGCAGGAGGGCTTCACTCCAGCAGTACTTTGAACTTCAGCCATTTGCCGGATGTCTTTGCTCTGGCCATCAATGAATAAATCCCGGATGCAGCCCACGTAGCCGTAGTTGAGCAGAGCCGTCCACACCTCGGTGGGGAAGACCAGGCCAGCCTTATTTTCAGGCAGGCCTCCCAGGTACAGCTCATCATCCAGGTCCAGAATCTCACTCTCCCCAGGGGCTGTGTAGGGCGTGCGCAGTGTGTTGACAGAAATGGTACCTGGTGTAAAGACAGAGAACAGGAGGGTTTTTAGAGTATAGAATGCTTTCCTTATCACCTTTTTTGTTTCATTTGCTTAAAGGTAACTCCTGGAGGGAAGACAGGGCTTAGTATTCTTGTGTGTCTGGTACTTCTAAATTTAAGAAATAAAATAAAAAATGTTATTTTTTTGTATAAAATAAAACAAGCAGGCTGGGGTTAGAGCACAGAGGTATAAGCACCTGCCTAACAAGCGCAAGACCCTGAGTTTAATTCCAGGTACAAAAGAAAAAAGAAGTAAAATAAAACAGGCTATAACCAAAATGTTTCCTTTTGATTTTGAGAATGAGAAACAAAGATTATAGGCAACTAATACTGTTTCTCAGCCTCTAAAAGCTCGGCCACTAAATCAATACTTACATTAAAAAATAGCCTCTGAAACAGGCTTCCATTAGTGAGTCTTTTTAAGCTAACATGTATGTATAAATCAAGAAAAGAATGCATATTCCTATTTTTCAATGACTTGCTTGTTTGGACTGGACACAGTATCTTGACAGATTGTCAAAATCTAAATTTTTTCACTCTTAGCTATATGCATAATATAGTGATTATGTTTGTGATTTGGAATTTCTTATCCATAACATGGGTATAATCATATAACCTATCTCAGAAAAGATGTTCCATGTATTAAGCAAAATAACTTAGTTTTTGGATTATAATGAGCACTGTATATGGGATCAGCATTAAGTGTCAGTGAAAGAAATCAATTGAAATCAGTTGGTTACTTCTTCTAAGCCAAATTATGCACCTAAAGTAATGTGGTTTTGTTTTTTATTTTTACTGCAAATGTTTGGGAGAAAACTCTCATGTATTTATAAATATACAAGAACCTAGGACTTAAGTGAAATCATCAAGTATTCATCTACAAGGAAATATTAAAGGGTCACAAAAATGTGGAATCCATCAAAAAAGATCAAAATGAAATGTTAAACGCACATTACTAATAAAAATTTAGATATATGTTGTCAGATTGAAAATCCCACTGATATTCAATCTCCAGAGCATCTTTCCTATAGATGAAAATATATTCCACATGGGCCCATTATCATGTTATTTCAGATTTATTTTTTAGATCTAAATCACAAAGCAAAACAGAAGAGTCTGATGAGAAAGTCAGAGTCAGCAAGGTCTGACACTAGGCTGAAACGCTGGCACACAGCCATAGAGACACAGAACGGACACGAGAAAGGTTAGGGACAGAGGTAGGGCCCAGAAGTGAGGGCAGAAAGGTGGACAGCTGAGGAAGAGGCACTTAAGTTACTCATGGGGAACCTACGCTCACCCCAAGCGAGGCACATATCTGCTGGCCACTCTGTGTATCCCAACCCCAACAGCAGGGCACTTCCTGAGTAGTGCCACCCAGTGGAGTTGGTTTTTGTGAATGTTAAAGGCGGAAAAGCCACCTACAGAAATGGCCCAGGCAGCCAAGTCATTAAGAGAACATTTATCTCTCTAGAGAAAGAAATGGCAAAAGCTCCCAGGAGAGACACACTCAAAGGCACTGCTATTTTGCAAGGCAGCAGAAGAGGAAAGGGATCAAGTATTCATTTCTAACGTTTAGATTTGTGCCAGTGTCTAGATGCAAACTTTCACGTAGGGACTTAGATTCCACAAAATCCAATTTAGAAAAATATTAGGAATGACATTTGAGGAAATGAAATATTTATATATGTAATATTGAGAAAATAGTGACTCTCTGAAATAGGATGATCATTACATGTATTTTAAAGAATTGTTTATGTAAAACTGTAAAAATATCTAGAAAATGAATTAATGAATGGATTCTATTCTCTGTAGCAGCTAATGCAAGTTAAAACATGATGAGAAAGAGTGAATGCCAAGGTCAAAACGAAAGGTGGGTTTTTGTTTTTGTTTCTGTGGTGCAGGAAACAAACCAGAATATCATGCATGCTAAGCTTTCCTCCTGAGTTACAGCCCCTGATCCAAGGTGGGCTTTTAAAGAGCATTTACATACTGCATTTACATCGAATACAAAGCACTGTACGCACTGAACGTAGTAACCTATGTTTTTAAGGTAAAAGAGAGAGGACTTTTTTTTTTTTTTCAACTGTTATAAGGCAGCTACATGGAAGCAGTATAATCCTGGAGGATTTGATACAGTAGATAAATATGATTGAAAGGAATTGTTATGATCACAGAATTTAGCAAGTTATCAATGACAAGAGTGGAGTATGCTTACATTTTGTATTTTTCCCCACAATCAGTTTTGTTTTATGGGTAGAACAACCCTGATCCTGCTTAGAAAGAAAAACAAAAACTTGCCAAAATTGTATTTGTGTATTCTCTTTATTCAAAAAAGAATGTTGCCATCAAAAGGGAAGATTCCTGAGATAAGAGAGCTCACTGGTGAAAGTGAAACCTTGCTTTCTAGGCCACCTCCAGGACTCAGTTGTGGCCACATGATTGACACCAGCAGTATGACATCAAGGACAAAGAGCCTGGCTGTCTCTTCCAGATTTGATTCATGGTACACCAGTGTCTGCTCTGAACACAGTGTTTTAGGAAAGTTCAGACATGTTGTTATGAATATGTCTGCTGTCCTGGTTGGAGTAACATGATCCCCATAGCTTTAGCTTTTCCTGATAATTCACAGAGTAATACCCACGCACACTCACAGACACGCACACCCCACTTACTGAATCAAAAGCTTAACAAAATATTTATTTCCACTGCCTTTAAAGGACTAAAATATTTTATCTATTAGTATAATTTTTAATTAAATCCTGGACTAGCAAATGGATTTCCAGCCAATTAACAAGTTGCAACCCCTATTCAAAAAATTTTGATTGAAAAGGTATCATAAGTTATATTTCCTCCAATGATTTTGATTATGTCTTTGTAAGACAATTTTAGAGTTCTATTGGAAAGAAAAGGCAATAAAATAGGATAGGGAAAGAAAAAGGAACACAATTCTAATTTCAGATCAAATATAATCAAGGAGCGGTTCGAATTTTAAGTTAGCCATGGACTCAAAGTTAAAGAGCCACACTGGCAAATGTATGTATCAGGTGTCGTTCACTGGAATACTCTGAAAACAGATACGAGAGAATGAAGGAAACATATCTGAATAATAAAATAAACTGTTTTTTCTGTATTTTACCTTATGTTTTAGAAAATTCTTACAAAAGCAAGTAAACAAGTAGAGGTTAAGTTGGAATGGAAACAATTACTTTTATATTTTGAAAATGTATAAACTATTGGAAATAATTTAATTTCTTTGTTGAATCAACCTGAGAAAACTGTATTTTAGTTTTTATACAAAGAAATGTCTGAACTATAGTATTTTGATAAGAGATTTGAACTATAAATCACATTAATGATTATATTATGGCTATTAATCAAACAATCTATTCATCTAAGCCATCACAGAATCTGAATTAGTTTAAATGAATTTAACACATGCACTTGAGCTTAGTGAAATTTAAGTGTTAGGCTTCCTAAGTGCATGTTTCGTTATCACTGAGTTGTAAAGCATGGATTTCAAAGAACACATCAAATGAATATTTAAATTTTGTTCACTGATAAAGACAAGTGAGTTCTATATCAACAGAACATGAGAATTTTCCAATGGTTGACATAAACAAATTTTTAAAAGAAAATAAAAAGTCTGGAAATGTTAATGGGCTACTCCTGGTTTTCTAGGAATCAAAAGTATTGCTATGTCCTCTCTGGATTCTGTCACACATTCTATTCCTTCTATAATAGTTACTGTATCTATGTAGGTATGTCTATATGTATACACATGTATACATACATACACATATATAATTAGAAGTATAATTCTAAGTTTCTGGTAAATTAATTCAGTACTTTAAACATTGTTAAATTTAACTTGTCAAAATTTGTGGATGGTATTCATATTTGGGAATTTATTGAGATCAGTGCTTTATGCTTCAACATTTAAGAATACAAAGCAATCTGCTATGTCATTTTACTTTTTTAAAGGAATGAAATTACAGTTCATATATCCATATTACTTTTATAAATTAAATTTAAAAAAACACATTACCTTGTATTAACTTTTAATCTTGTGCATATGCAAATGGATAAAAAGTGCATAAGTAGACAACGTATTTATTTAAGAGTTTTCAAGGGCCAGAGATTTAAATAATAAATTATCCTTTCTTAGCCAATTGTACATAAATGGGAAATAAGCTCTTAGGTATGAGCGTGGCAGTCACCTGTATCATTTGATACAGTGCTAATGACCTTATAGCTTCCCCTTACCATTCTGTTTTCCTTGGATATTCTTTTTATATAAAATTAGTTTAGAAGGTGAGTAGAAGCGTGAAGATCAGATTTAAGGTAAGTAAATGCGCTTCTAGTTTTAAATTATGGCAAAAGTTTGAATTACTGGGAAAAGAAGAGGAGAAAATAAATGTGCTGGGCTGGAAAAGGCTTTTGGCTGGTGATGGAAAATGGATTTTCATGTTTGAGCCCTTCGAACAAATCAGAAAACTCAAGCCAAATAATGGATTTATTAGACCTCATTGTGGTTCACTGTGGCTCTTTTTTTTTTTTTTTTTTTTTTTTACAAAATAAGACAATTGACAATATGATCACTAAGCTTTCTTTTCAAACAGAAGAATTAAAATTACTATTTAAAATATTTTTAAGTTAAACATCATTTTTAACTGTCCATAACTATACCCCATCTCTACTATAGGAAACTGATTCTACAAAGTGACAAATTTATTTTTCTATTTCATCCTCTATTAAAAAATTCAACTTTAATAAAAAAGTCTAATCAAAGCAGAACACAAGAATGTGTACAGTGCAAAATAAGTAATGTTCATAAAAATCATAAAAAATAATAGTTTAAAATCCTCCAAAAAAAAAAAATATATATATATATATATATATATTTTTTTTTTTTTTTTAATTGGTACCAGGGATCAAACTCATGAACGCCTGCTTGCAAGGCATGTGCTTATGCTGCT